AATTGGGAGGCTTCCAGAGACATGATCTGAGGGCTGGGGCCTCAGCAGCCCAGCTCTGTGTAGCTGTACCAGGGAGAGATACCAGGGGCTGAGGCCCATGCATGAATAACTGCTAGGCACAGTGTCCTTGAGCTGGGGAGTGGTTGTTGGAGACAGTGTTTCTGAGACTAGGGAGAAATTGGGGCACAAGTACAAGCACAAGCACCCAAGCACCCCATTATTACAGATCAGAGATCACACAAACCAGACCAGGTGTCCTGGTCTCTGGTATAAACATAATTATCTAAAGCAATTATATTGCAAGCTTTCTTATCCATTTGCGTTGGAGGTATGGGCTATGCTGAGCTATGCAAGAGTACGTTTCACTATTGTTTAGATTTAGGAGGAAAGAGGTCTGGGGCAAGATTAAGCACCAACTTTTGCTTTCCATGGCTTAAAGGGCCCTACTACCTAAATGGCAAAATAATGTTCTGTATTACACCATGGCCCCTAGTTAGCCCCTAAACCTGGTATTTCCTACCTATAAACTTTCAGATTTTTTCAAAACAGTAATAAATTATCTGCTTGAACCTAACGCATTGCATTTATCTTCAACATAGTGTGTGTCTCTCCACAAGCACTTTTATCTGATGCGCCGTTTCCTTTCCTGTTGATTTTACCAATGTTTCACACACAAATATTCTTTTTCTGTCTACTTCAGAAAGTAAAAGGTCCACATATCAAAAGTGCAGTATTATACACAAAAGCCAAAGTGATTACAGCCTTTGCCCTCAAAGAGCTTACATTCTTACATTCTAACATGTCTAATTAGGAGACAGTGTGTACATACATAAGTAAAGCAATGGTATTGATCAGTGGAATCATTTATCAAAGGAGTCCTTCAACTGACTTGCTGAAATTACTGAGATTCTAGGGCTTGCAAAAAGTTAGTGGCGAATTTACACCAGTGAAAGAGGTGAAATTGAATGGACAATTTGCGAATGAAAAGGTCTGGAAAGAAAATTGAGATTTGACAGAGACAATGGACTTACCCCAGGATGGGGATAGCCAGGTGAATTTAAAAATGAAAACACCAACCTTGAAGCAATCCTGCTGTGGAGTTGAGGCAAGAAGAAAGATAGCTTTGGAGGAAGAATTCAGTCTTTGACTTTTCTTTGGTGCCTTCTGAAGAATGCAGTAAGAGAGGAGGAAATTTCTCTCTCTTCCTCCTACCCCATCAACAATTTTTCTTAGCATGTTATTTCAATGATTGCCTTTACTTTAAGCTAACTGTATCTTCTGGTTGACTACTGAAAAGTAAGCCTGTTGGTAGGGGCTCATGAGCTAGAGTTTTAGGAATACCGTGAACTTAAGGTAATTGCTGTGTGTCCAACTTTCAAAGACAAGTTGGAGAGGTAGTCCTGAGGAATTCTACACAGGAGTTCATCCAGGACTTGTAGCTTGTATTCTGTAGTATTTGAGGAATCCATAGTGGGGAAATGTTTTTTTTTTCTTTGTATCTTCCTGCAATGTTCTGTACAAAGGGTATGGATTTTCAGGATGTCCATATAATGAGATCCTACTTGCTATTATGCTTTCAGAATGGATTGGAATTCTTCCCAATCCATGCTGACATATATTCCCAAGGTCATAAAATCCACCCTCCCAATTGTTGAGGTCAGATTTGGGAGAGCAGTTTGAGTGTGAAAGAATTCACTTCTCTTTTAACCATTGGGAGCTCTATTACATGAAAGCACACTCCGGCCTCCTTAACAAGAAAGCTAATTAAAACCCCAATATTTGGGGGAGTTAGGCTTATATAGAGGTTTCAGAATGATGATGTAATTTTAGGGTCTTTTATGGGGGTTAAATATTTAAGGACAGGACAAGTAAGGATTTTATGACATAGGATGAGGAAGACCAAAAGGAATTCTTTTGGTACAGGTTAAGGAGAAGTTTTACGGTATTTCAAAATAAGGGGGAAAGGACTTTAGGAGAGGTACAGAATGATCCCCAACCTCCCTCAGGAGGGTCTTCACAAAGCACTGGAGAAGCAAGCCTTAATATTCTTTTTAACCCTTAGGGCACCATATGCTACATCCACATCACAGTGACACGTATGACATTCTTGAGGGACGTAGCCCTTTGAATCCTTGAAGACAGCTTTGAGCCTGTTCTCTCCCAGACTAAACATCCCCGGGTCCTTCAACCAATCTTCTGCTGAGTATAGAAAGGGAAGTAGTGCTGGAAGGGTAGGTTAGGTCAGGTTGTGAAGGGTTCAGGTGTCAAACAGAAAGTTCAATTTGATCCTAAAGATCACAGGCAGTCACCAGAGTTTATTGAAGAGGGAAGTAATATGGTCATATGACCATATAACCATATGGTCAGACTTGTGCTTTAGGGAAATCCCTTTAGTGGTTGAATGGAGGATTGACTGGAGTGGGGAGAGACTGGAGGCAGACAGACTCCTCCCTCCAGCTGCTACTGCAGTAGTCCAGGGGTGAGGGGATGAGGGCCTGTAGCAGAGTGGTAGCCATGTGCATGGAGAGAAAGGCTGAATGAGAAGGATGCTGTCAATCATCATAGAGACAATAAGATTTTCCAACTCACTGTTTATGTGGATCTAAAGGAGATGAAAAGTCAAGATTGGAACCTGGAGTGACTGAGAGGATGGACAATGAGGATGTGACCTGAGTGACCTTGAGTGACTGAGAGGATGGTCGGTGTTTGTCAAGCTTAAAACAAACAAAAAGTGAAACTTAAAAATAAAGGGAGAGGGGAAAAGGAAGAAAAATGATCAGCTGGACAGTCTTCCTGCCTTCCAGGCTTCCTCCTGGGGCAGCCCCCGCTCCCTGGCACTGATACTTAACCCAGGTATTTTTAGTACTCAACTGGTGGGCAGGAGTTAAACCAGCAAAGTTGGGGGTGAGGTGGAGAGTGCTTTGAAAGTCTCAAATGAAGTTTCATGTACCTGGACAAGAGACTCCTTCATTCATGTCTCCCCCTTCCCTCCCACCTCCACACATATATACACACAAAACACACACTCACAAATACACAATCACTCCTACCAGGTCATTTTTTCCCACCTGCCTGACCTTCTGGATTTCAAGATCTCTAGGAATGCATCATTCCACTGGAAGAAATCAACTCTGACTCACATCTCTTCAGCTTCTTCTACCCCTGGGAACTCCCCCAATGGTAGAAGGGGGAAGTGGGATACATCAGAGAACTCCTCCCACCTCCATCATCAGGGCATTCACCTCATTATTTCCCACCAAGGATAAAGTACCCTTACTGCCTTCTCTCCTCTAGTTGTGAGCTCCTTAAGGGTAAGGACTTTCTTTTTCCTTTTCTTTAGATCCCCAGTACTTAGTACAGTACTTTACACATAGTATGGGCTTAATATATATCTGTTGATCCCAATTCTGCTGTCATTTTTAATAAAAAGATAGAGGAGTGCAGAGATTTTTTTAAAAACACAAAAAGAAACAGAGAAACAAGAGACAGTCCATAAACATTTTATTAAGTGCCTACCATATACCAGGCACTATGCTAGGAACTTAGGAAGCTGAAAGACAGTCCATGCCTTCAAGGAGCACATAGTCTAATGGAGAAAACAACTTGCAAATAACTAGGTAAAACAAGCAAATACAAAAAAAAAATTATACTTGATATTAATTATCAATATTCATTATTATTTAGGAGGAGTTGGAACTAATTGGGAGAAGAGGGAACTAGCATCAAGGGGGATGGGTAAAGGCTTCTTGTAGAAGGAGGGGTTTTAGCTGGGACTTGGAGGAAGCCAGAGAAGCCCAGAGGAAGAGATGAGGAGATCAAAGAAAAAGCCTGAGAAACAGGAGTGTCTTGTTGGAGGAACAGGAAGGGTTTAAGAGTATAGGTGGTGGGAAGGCATAAAGGTCAAGAAGACAGGACGTGTTTCCTTTTTTTTCTGGCAATTAGGGTTAAATGACTTGCCCAGGGTCACACAGCTAGTAAATGTCAAGTGTTTGGTCTGAGACTGGATTTGAACTCAGGTCCTCCTGACTTCAGGGTCAGTGCTCTATCCACTGCACCACCCAGCTGCCCCAAGACAGGACATGTTTGAACAGCAGACAGGGTTTTATATTTGATCTCCAAGGTACTAGGAAGCCAATGGAGTTATTGAGTAGCAGGGATGATGACAAGGTCAGATCTGGGCTTTAGGAAAATCACATTGAAAGCTGAGTGGAGGATGGACTGGATTGGGGAGAGACTTGAGCCAGGGAGACTCAGCAGCAGCTATTGGAGTGCTCTGAGTGCGAGGAGATGAGGGTCTGCACCAGCATGAGAGCAGGGTCAGACGAGAGAAGGGGCTCTTAGAGAGATGCTTTAAAGGTAGAAATGAGACTTGTCAAAAGACAATGGAGACTGAGAGCTAGTGGGGTGGAGGATGACTGCTAGGCTGGGAGCCTGGGGGTCTGGGACGATTGTGGTACCCTCAGCAGAAAGAGTAAAGTTTAGAAGTGGAGCAGGAGAGGAAAGATGGGTTCAGCTTGGGACGTGTCGAGTTCGAGATCCAGGACATCTAACCCAAGGTGTCCAACAGACAGGACAGAGGGGAAGACTCAATGAGGCATAATGAAGGACAGAGCAAAAGCAGGACCAGGGATAGAGATAAAGAGATCCGTCCATGCAGTGAGTCCAGAGCTGGCCAGGTTGCAGATCGCCTTGAAGCTGGTGGCCTCTGGTTTGGTGACCAGCTTCAGAATCTGAGTAACCAAGAAGAAAGAGGGTTCTTAGAGCTCTCTGAAGTCAATGCCCACCCACTGCACAGAGGGGAAATTGGGGCAGAGATGGGGACATGGACCAGTCCAAGGACACACAGTGACGTGGGGCAGACCCTTATCTCCACTGGGTTTTCCTGATGCCCCAGAATGCTTGGGTTCTAATGGGACCCACACAGTCCTCTAGGACAGTTAGTCCCTCCCTCAACTGACTTGTAAATTGTAAAGAGGAAGTAGTTACTCCTCTAATGAGAGAGGGAGGAGCCAGGAAGGGTCAGTGATAGGAAACTCATGGCTGGGCTTGTTCCATCCCCAGTCTGGGCCACCAGCCTTCAGTCCAGCCCCGGGACCACCATGTCTCCCTGGCTCCCTGCCCTGCTGTACCTCGGTGAGTCTGGGCAGGGAGAATTTCAGGTTCCTGATACAGGGCTGTCAAGGGCAAGAGCAGCCTTCTCTTCTCTCCCTCATTTGACAATGAAAGAAAGAAGCCCAGAGTGAAGAAATGACTCCCCTGAGTTCACCCAAGGCTAGAACCCCAACCCAGGTGCCCTGATGTCCAGCAGCATGCCTCCCCCCACTTCCCATCCCCCACCCAGAGCTTTGGTAGGGAAGCTGAGGATTCTGGGCAGGGCTGATGGGACCCTCTCTGACAGGACTGTGTCTCAGTGGGAGGATCAAGGCACAGGACCGTGAGTTCTCTCCCCCCAACCAACCCCCTCCCATTCTCTCTTTTTGTCTGTATCTGTGTCTCCATGTCTCTATCTCTCTGTCTGTCTCTGTCTCTGTTTCTGTCTCTCTCTCTCTCTCTCTCTCTGTCTCTCTTTCTGTCTGTCTGTCTGTCTTTCTCTCTCTCTCTCTCTCTACTCACCTGTCCCCCCAAGGGAGGACAGACTGGAGGGTCTGGGCTAACCTACTGGAGTGACTCTGGGAGGGGCCTGGGGGCAGGAGGCATTGGAACCCTCTGGAACTCCAGGCTCTAACTTCCTTCCAGATCTACTCCCCAAACCCTCCCTCTGGGCAAAGCCAGACCATCTGATGCCTGAGGGGCAACTTGTGACTGTCTGGTGTCAGGGCCCTTCTGGGGCTGTAGGTTACAAGCTGGAGAAAGTGGGAACCTTTTGGTTTATGTTGTCCTACCCTAATGGGAATAAAGCTTCATTCTTTCTGGGGAAAATGAGAGTAGAAGCTGCTGGTCTTTACCGCTGTCACTACTGGACCTCATCTGGCTGGACAGAGTCCAGTGACCCTCTGATGCTGATTGTGACAGGTGAGGCAGAGACCCCAGCCCTAGCCCCCACCCTTCAGCCAGGGCTCAGTCCCCACTAAATTATTCCCTCCCCAGGTCTACACACACACACACACACACACACACACACACACACACACACACACACCCTTCCTTATCTAGGGCCACAGTAGAGATGGGATTCTCAACTCATAACCTAGCATGGGCAGCCATTAGGGGTCTCATTCTATGGCCATCATTCCAGAGCTGGGGGGAGAGGGATGGACCCTCACATGGCACAACTATCCCTTTGAGCTCTGACCTAGGCACAGAGAAGGGGTGCTCCCCTGTAACACCAGGGTCTCCTTGTCCCCTAGGCCAATATGACAAACCCATCCTCTCTGTCATGCCCAGCTCTGTGGTGGCCCCAGGGCAGACTGTGACCTTCCACTGTCAATCTTTATATGGCCTGGATGGCTTCATGATGTCTAAAGACCAAGCAGACAACATGACCCCTCATTATGAGTGGAAGACTCTGGCCAGCTTCTCCATCCAGGCTGTGACAGCTGCTCATGGGGGCACTTACCGATGTCACACTTTCCATAGTGACTTCCCTTATGTGTGGTCAGCTCCCAGCAATCCCCTGGTCCTCAGGGTCACAGGTGAGACATCCCCAGCCTAGCCCCTTTCCCAATGGTGCCTAGCTGTCCTCTGCCACAGACTGGCAGCTCTGTGCTCAGCCCTGGGGAGCTAGGATATTGTGCCCTAGGACTCCTAGCAGTATCCTGGGCAAGGGACAAGGAAGAGGGTAGGGAGAGAGGACAGTGTCTAACAGCCTCAGGGTGGGTGGAAGACACCTCCCCTGCCCTGCTTTCCCTCTTGCTCCCCCAGGAGAAGACAGGGTATCCAGTGGGACCAGAAAAGGGGGGGCTTACAAGAAGACTCAGTAGGGACAGCCTGGATGGGGAGGGGGATGACAGGATAAGTTAGGCTACCTGCCCTATCATCTCATTCCCAGACACTCCTGAAGAGCACAGCCTCCCAGTTCCCAGGGAACCAGACCCCACAAGTCGTAAGTAACTGCAGCCCAAGCTGGGTGTCTGGGAATGGGGAGAGGGGGGAAGGCTTCAGCCATTTTCAGTGCCCCTCCCTGTCCCAGAGACAGAACCCTGTCCCAAGGGAGCCCAAAGGGGCAGAAGGAAGGATCCCAGGAAAGAGACATGGGGAGAGAGAAGGAGAGCCAATCCTCTAAGAGTTAGGGAGAAGGTGTTTGGGTGAGACCCAGGAGGAAGGAGGAGGAGCATTGAACCTATGATTCTATTGCTATAAAGAGCTCCCAGATGGGGAAATACCCTTTACCAGTGCAGGTTTTCAATTTCTCTACAACTTCTAGTCCATAGAGAGCTGCCAGAAGCACTGAGTGTATTAAGTAACTTGCCCAGGATCGCACAGCCAGGTAGAGTTGGAGTCAGGACTTGGACCCAGATCTACCTGACTCTGAGACCAGCCCTCTCCCACCATTCCATATTGCCTCTCAAATATGTAAAATATATACATAATAAAAGACAAGGGAATTAGAAGGGGGGATGACTATTAGCTGGGAGAAGAGGGTGTTAGTCCTTATTAAGAAATTGACCCTTGGACCACTTCTAGGAAACTAAAGACTCTGAGAGGTAGAGGTGGAGAAGGAGGACATTCCAGACATCAGAGCAGCCTTTGCCAAAGTATGTGGGCAGGAGATGAAGGGTCCTACGTGAGAAGCAGCAATAAGGTCAATTTGACCAGATTTTACAGAGGGTTGAGAGAATGGCTATAAAGAGCTTTAAGTGCCAAACAGAGGAGTTTAAATGTGATCCTAAAGAAAATAGGGAGCCACAAGGGTTTAATGAGTAAAAGAGGAGAAGGTCTGACCTAAACTTTGGGGAAAATCATGTTAGCAGGTAAGGAGGGTGGAGTACTGAAAGCTGGCAGCCCCCCAGCATCTAGCTGTGTCCAAGGTCTTGAAATCATTCAACATTCAATATTGCAAGAAAGCAGCATTAGGACCAGCCTGAACCTTCCCTCCAGTAGTTTGCAGAGCCTAGCTCTAACATGCAATCTGAAGTCAAGAAATGGGCTGGAAGAATGGACAAACAAATTAAAAGGATCCCACCATAAAAAAGTATTATGGTGATGGGGACACTCAAGGCAGAAACCTAGAAAAAATAGAATGACTCCAAAACATCTTATGAGGAAAACCACAGAGAAAAACCCATCTTGAACAACTAGAATTTCTGGAAGAAATGAAGCTAGAATTTTTAAAAACAGTTTAAAATATCTTTCCAAATTAAATCAGAGTACTAGAGGAAAACAATTGGAAAAGAAATGAGAGCTATAGAAGAAAAAATTGGAAAGAGAATGTATAAATGAATAAGGACTTGTAGGAATCAGACCACATCCATGTCAGCCCAATAGACCCTTAAAGATCATGGATTCCAGCCCCTCCACCCCTTTAGTTTCACAGATGAGAAAGTGAGGTCCAGAAAGGGGTCCAGACTAGTCACCCAGTCAGTGGAACCCAGGTCTCGGGACTACCAGCCTAGGCAGTCTCTGTGCTGGCCCTGCTCCCCTAACCCTGCTTCCTTCCTCATTCCCCAGGAACCTCCTCTCCAAAGCTTTCTAACCTGCTGTTTGGTGAGTAACTATGATTCCCATACCAGCCAGTAGTGGGAGGCCCTGAGATGGATGTTAATTGAGGGTTGATTTCTCCCTCCTCCCTGCCCCCCCAAATCCTGGAGTCCCATTAATTACCCATCATGTCCCCTTGAGCACCTCCTCTGCCTTGTCCCCCAACTCTGGGGGCCATCCAGAGAGAGGGAATCTAAACAGAGCTCATATCTCCTCCTTCCAACTGGGGGCTGAATTCTCCCACCCCAATTCACAATGGGGAGGATACCCCCCAAGTACCATAATGGTGTTAACACTATCCACTATGCCTTGGTCTTCACACCAAGGTCTCCCCAGGCTCATAGCAAGCATCCTGATGGGCATCTTAGCCCTCATCATCCTGCTTTTCCTCTTCCTTCTCTTCTTCCTCCTTCGACGCTGCAGCCAACATCAAGCTAGACTCAGTGAGTTCTTGGGGCTGGGGGTGGCCTTGGCCAAAGGCCTGATAGGACACTGGCTGAACCCCCCTGGAGTCTGATTCTGACTCTCCTTGCAGAGACCAGGGGCAAAAAGGCAGAAATCAAGGAGTCCCTGAGAAGGTAGGGTCCCTAGATATACCCTGATTCCCCCTGAGCACCTCCCCAGTGATACCACTCACATTTTTGGACCTTCCCCCTCTTCTATGTCTTCTTCTTCCTCAGCTCTGACTCAGCTGGGACCCCCGTGGAGGAGACTCTGTGTGAGTGAGGTGCAGGGGCTGGGGTCCTGGGGGTGCCAGAGGGAAGAGCCTGGTCCCGGGCAGAGCCAGGGTCCTGGCCCCTCATGCCTTCTCCTCTTGCCTCCAGATGCTGCTGTGAATGACGACAGACAGACAGAGGAGGCCAGACAAGAAGACACGGCTGTGAGTCACTTACACATCTCTCCTTCTGGAGGGAACAGGGAAAAGAGGCTTCCCCAAGGCCCCACACAGCTGGGAGGGTTCAGGGTCCTTTCCTCTCCTCAGGCCTCTTGTCCCATGTCCCACTCCATCCCTCCATCTCCTCCTGCCAGGTTCCCAAAAGGGAAGACCCTCAGGAAGTGACCTATGCCCAACTGAACCCCAACAGCCTCAAGGCTGGGGCCAAGGACCCTCCTCCTTCTGGACCAGTGGAGCCCAGCCTCTATGCCTCCCTGAGGTGAGCTCAGCCTGAACCCGGGGGACCCCAGGAGGAAGAGGCCTCTCCCTATTTAGCCTCTGCTTTCTGAGGGCAGACCCTGTCCCAATATTAACCCAGGTGTTAGGATCTTTTCCATTACAGCAGGTACCCAGTAATTTCATTTCTCTTGTGGCAGCAGTCAGGTTGTGTGTGTCTATCCTTGGTGGGCCTCAAAGGTAACATTGGTAGCCTACATGAGCTCATCTTCTGCTTTCTGCAACCTACCAAAAAAAAAATCAGGCTCTCAACTTATCAATAATTCACCAGTAAGGAAATATAAGATAATTTGCCTACTGGGTGAGTCTACACTCAAGCCACCAGCCATCCACCAGCTCACCAGAGGAAGCTAAGTAGGAATTGATAATAGTAATAATAATAATAATAGCTAACATTGATATAGCACTTACTGTATGCCAGGCACTGTGCTAAGCACTTTACACGTATTATCTCATTTTGATCCTCACAACAACCCTGGAAGGTAGGTGCTATATTATCCCTATTTTATGGAAGAGGAAACTGAAATAAATAGAGCTTAAATGGCTTGCCCAGGGTCAGCCAGCTAGGAAGTATTTGAGGTCAGATTTGAACTCAGGTCTTCCTGACTCTAATCCTGGCACTTTGTCTACTGCACCACCTACTCACAAGCTCTGAGCTTAAGTTCTTACCTCTCCCATAGCCTAGGCTCTCTGTGACCCCTAGTAGAAAAAAGTGCTGGTCCTGATTCAGTATTGGTCCAAGAGTTTGCAACTAACAGCACTCTGAATTATGAGAATTATAGGAAAATATCTACTTGGCAAAGCCCCACCCTGTTTCTGAGAACCGTCCTTCCATCTGGCCAGTCTTCTATTTCTGTTACATAGGCAAGTGATCACAAGATTTTATTATAAAAAGATTTTTTTAAAAGTTGTCAAGGGCTTGTTTACCTGATGTAAATCTTTATGACTAACCTCACTGCTGCTCAAGTGGGGGAGGGGGGTGAAGTGAATGCTCTGTCTTCCACCTGGCCTCCACGTAGCCATGAGCACATGGTTGCCCCTGCCTTTTCTGGTTGGTTGGTTTCTGCATTAGGCAAGAACTCCAGAGTGATCTGGTCCAGGACTAATGGAGATCTCATGAGTTCCAAAAGGTGTGGAGGTCCCAGATGCCAGTGAGGAGCCACCTGGAAACAAAGGATGCTTCTGAATCACAAAGAATGGCCACTGGAATAGAGGTTGACCCAATTTGCCCATTTGGACAGCATGCTTTTACCATCAGTGTATTTGGATGGTACAGGGCAGTACTGGACAGGTGAAATGATAAAGAATTAATTAACAAGCTGTTTCGTGTATGAGTGAGATTTAAGCATTAGCCTTCTTACTGATTATAATTGGAGTTATATGTTGCTACTGAATCTTGTGATTCCAATTAATTCTGCACTTATGTGCTGTGATTCTCCCTTGATTAGCATTTCTTTCTGTGTAGGAATAAACTACCATCCTGTACTCAGCTCATATTGTACACTGGGTACCTCTTTTACCACTACCCCTCTTTTGGAGGAAGCCTGAGACTTCTTGAAGCCATTTTGTACCTACAGTGACTGTCCCTCTGCAATCAGTGTCTACCTGGAGGGTGTGTCTCTGTCCCCTACACTGTGTCTCCAGAGACCCAATGAGACCAACAACCCTACAAATGAGCACAATAAGGATGCCTCTAGTGAACTGGGGTGTCCAGGGATGGGCAAATAAGAATATCTTCCTTTCCCAGTAGGATAGCAGTCATGTTCTGTTACACTGAGACTGCTGAGAAGCACCTCCTAGACCATCAGAATATTCCACCAAGAATGTTGGTAAACAGAGCTTCCAATCTCCTTGAATTCGTTTTGCTTGTTTCTTTGTTTTTCCCCTCAGTGGAATGAGATCATTTTTATTATTCCTCTGTTAGCTAAAGTCAAATCTTAACTGCAGCTTAAATTTTTTTTAACTGCTCAAACTAACTCTCCACCAATTTCACAGGGTATCTCCTGGCCAGATAGTTCTAATGCAGACCAAAGAAACATTGCCTATTGTTCATTGACCAGAACAATATCAAGCCAAGTGAGTGACCACTTCTCCTGCAAAGCCTGGTCATACGTCAAATCATCTGGTGCTTTTGTGACCTACTGACTTTTCTGTGTCCATGTCTAACCTCATAGGTAGTGTGGACCATCATTTTCTGTATGTTTTATGGCTAACCTTTTTTCCCTGCCTTGAGAGTCTCTACTAAAGAAATCTGGGACAGAAGAGACGGTGTCTCTGGGATCGTCCTTACTAAAACTTTCTTCAACAACATTTGGAGAGCAGAAATTGCATTTGTATCCCCAGAGCATACCTCAGTGAAGTGCCTGGCTCATAGTAGGTACTACTAAATGCTCATTGATGTATGAATTAGTTGGTTGGATTCCCTGAGGAGCAAGAGCTGAGTAACAACGAGCAATTAGTTAAAAAGACTAAAACAAAGAGACTGTGCCAGTAATAACCAGATAGTCTGAGCTCAAAAAGTAACCCTTTTAATGAGGAAGATACTGTGTATAGAAATACAGCAACTATGCCTTGGATTGAGGATAAAGGACCCCATTTTAAATGGGGGGGGAGGCTCAACCCAGAGTCTCCAGGTATTATGATCTCTCACATAAGATATGTATGTCCATATAACTTGTCTAGCATGTTTTGGTGGAGGCCTGGGGAGATATGATCATAGGCCCACTTATTAGGAGAGGAGAAGAGCCAATAGCCATACCTGAATGGATACACAGGGCCCCGAAGTGCCACCAAGAACACCAAGTATCCTTATCTTTGGTCTCTGAGAGGAGACATTTGGCTAGTATTGTATCCATTTACTCTTCCCTTAAATATCTCTTGTCTAGAGGCAAAAGTCTGCATTCAGAAGGAAAGCTATTTCCTTGTTTGCTCTTGGAGGATGGAGTAGCCCTTAGCTTACACTAACCAGCTTAATTCCTTCCCACCAAATGCTGGTCACACAAATGACATCACAGTTAACAGTTAGTAAATGTATTTATCCAGGCAAAACAGTAAACAGAAATTGGAAACATTCTACAGACTGGAATGTATCCAAATCCACAGGCTGAATGTAGACCCACACTCAGCCCTGACCACCCATCTCTGTTGACCACAGAGATCACTGTCCAGCCCCAATGCCTCACTCCCTTCACCAGCCTCCTGGGTGAAGGAACAGACTCAGGCCTGTACCAGCTCTCTCTGCAACAATCTTTGAGGACTGTGAGCTCCTCTTACCATCTGCTACCCATTATTACCACTATGGTTTTTCCTGTTTTTCTCCCTATCCCTTAAAATAATTAGTCAGCTACCATTTAGTAAAAAACTATCCCCTGCTTACTCTTCATGTTTTCTTGTCCTCATCCTCTTCAACTCAACCCCAACCATGTCTGAAGAAAACCCTATCCATCCTTTCTTCTGTGTCCTCTGATATTCCAATTCCATAGCAATCTTCCCTTCATCCTTAGACCTCTTCCTCTCATACTCCTTCCATCTATTGACCATCTATTATATCTTGTTCTCCTCTGATGACCCTGTAGATCCAGCTACCCTCTCTAAAACTTCCCTCACTTTCTGTATGTTCTCTCACATCTCATGCTAACACTGAAGAGAATTAAATAACTTGAAGGAATGACAAGGTGCAGTGAGGGATCTTTTTTTAAAAAGTAGGAGCATTGGGTTTGCTTGTAGGTAACAGGAATGAAACCAGCAGGTAGGGACAGAATGAAGAGTAGAGAAGTAAGGAGGTGATTTGGAGGAAACTTAGCTAGAGGAGACGAGAAGTGATGGCATGTGAGAAAAAGGGACCCTTCTTCATAAGAGACCAGAGTAAAGGAGGAGAGGGTGCAGATGGTCAATCAGTCAATCAACAAACATTTACTAATGCCAGGTTTGGGGCAGGCACTGTGCTAGGTACTTAGGATACAAGGTAAAAAATAAACAATCCACACTCTCAAGAAGCTTCTGATGACAAGGAGTTTTGAGATTAGTAGAAGGGCAAGAAGGAAACTCATGGCCAAATGCCCCTAATTTCTCAACAAAGTATACCTACTGAAATAACTGGTGATAGAGGAGGCTTGGGGAAAGAAAAGAAGAGAATGTTTGGGACTGCCTCTGAGGGGGATGTAATAGAGAACTGATTAGAGGGCAATAAAAGGTTTGCCTTGCTTCAGTGAGAGCTCACTTAACAGCAGATAACAAAATGTATAGACCTCACAGCTTTATGACTTCTTTCAACTCCATTCAGCTGCATGGGAGTAGGAATAGGAGACAGATGGTGGGAATAATCGAGGGCTGGGCTTTTACAAGGTAGGAGCAGGGGTAGAACAAGACATCTGAGAGGAAAATAAAGGTTCATGTTGAATCTGTTATCTATGGTACGGAGACTGTGAATGGAAGAAAGGGAAGTCAGAGCAGAGATGATGGTTTGGGAAGATGCTATGATGAACAGAAAGGAGTTCACAGGGAGAGTGAAAAGTGTAAGAATGTCAGCTCCTTCAGAACAAAAGCACCAGTTTGGGTTTTGCCTTCATCTCCGCAGGACCCAACCTGGCAGGCACGTCATAAATGCTTTTTTTGGTGAATGAATGAAACGCAGAGTGGGAAAGAGAGAGGGGCACAAAGAGGGACAGACGGAGACATAGAAGACAGAGACAAGGACAAGCCCTTTCATGCTGGTATCCGAGTTAAGAATAACACAAAAAGAATAACAAAAGAAACACGGATTTATCTCAGCATTTACCAGTGAGGGTGAGGAAGTGGCGAGAACCCCAGGTTTGAAGTCAGAGGAACTGTCTAGTCTGTCTCTTTTGCTACATAGTATTTGCATTGATGGCCACCCTAATGCAATGCCTCTCCCCTCTCACACCAGTTTCCGGAGAAGGACCACCACCACAGGGTGCTAAAGGCACCTCGAGGTTCTGAACTCCTCCTGCTCTCCCGTTCTACCTCATGAGGCCCCAGCACTGTCCTTCCCTTTACATACTTGGAAGTAGACAGAGCATGCCTGTCTCCCCTATCCCCCCACCCCACCACTTTCATAAATATTAAGAAAGCATTCTAAAATTATTCTAGTCTGAAATCTTTAGACTAATCTGAAAGATTAGTCAGTCTTTTGTTAACTATCACTTCCAAAACAATGTCCTACTCTCCTCTTTCGAATCAGCTCAGGAAGGATTTCTACTTTGAAGTTACTAGAGCAGTAACCAGACAAGGGCAGGAATCCCCTAACTGATGAATTTAGGGGTGACATAGGCAGACCTGGGGCTTAGGAAGATCACTTTGAAAGCTGAGTGGAGGATGGACTGAAATGAGGAGAGACTTGAGGCAAGCAGACCACCCCCCAACAGTGATGGCAATAATCCAGGCACAAAATAATGAGGCCCTACATGAAAATAGTGGCAGTATCAGAGGAGAGACGGGGATATATACAAGGGTGGTAAGGCTGACCTACACATGTGGCATGGGAGTGTCATTGGAGGTGGCCAGCCTCTTCTTCCCCAACCCTTCTCCAAGGGTCATTCTGCCAGGAGAGGAAGAAGGAAATAGGCCAGAGATCACCATTCTGCTCTTCTCAGAGAGAGAGGTAATAGGCTAAAAGTGTATCTATCTGTTCCCTTAAATATTAGCCTAAGGATGTGTTTTCAGGTTAATGCTAACTTCTGATCACTGTTTCATTAAAAAGAGGGAAAAGAAAACCCTAGGCTCTATATCTAAGACTTGACTCCCTTACCACCAAACATCATTATCACAACAAACATACAAAATAATTAGCAAAGAAATTCATTTATCCACATCATAGCAAAGCTGGAATCAGAGAAAGTGTACATAGAATATACACCAGACAATAATGAGTGAAGGAGCTCTCTCATTGGCAGCAGCATAGCTCAGCTCTACCAAGAGAGAAGTTGCTGGATCTAACCCAAGGCAAAATGCCTCAAAGTCTCTAGGGTAGCAAGCTGGGGAAAGGGACATGAGGGAGAGTGCCAGCTCCTCTCAGGTCTTCCCAGAGTCTTTTCCTTCAACAACCTGAAATGGAGTTGGCCTTGTCCATCTTCTCTCTTGAAGCACCTGAAGTGACTGGAAGAAAACTGAAGATCTTTCCTCTCTCTGGTTCTTCCCAACTCTGGCTATCCTCTCACACAGGGCTGGGCATTTATCCCCACCAACTAGGAGAATGTCCAACACCAATGGGCTTTGGAGCTCCAGTTACATTCCTCCCTTAGGCTGAAACTCTTTGCAGTCCATTGCAAAGATCAGCTGAGGCAGGTCCAAAACCTGTCATTATATAGCATAAACACAAACATCAGCACTTTAAAACAACAAGGGTGAGTTTTCTGCCATCCCAGGTAACCAAACCTAAATAAAACAAATGTTTGTTAACAAACATGCAGTATATCAGCAATACCACTGCTAGGTATGTATTCCAAAAGAGATAAAAAAAAAAGAACTTATATGTACAAAAATATTGATAGCAGCTCTTTTATGGTACAAAGAACTGGAAATTGAGGGGATGCCCATCAACTGGGGAATGGCTGAACAAGTTGTGGTATATGAATGTAATGGAATACTATTGTGCCATAAGAAATCATGAGCAGGATGCTCTCAGAAAAACCTCAAAAGATTTATGTGAACTGATGCAAAGTGAAATGAGCAGAACCAGAACATTGTACACAGTAATAGCAATATTTTAAGATGACCAATTGTGAATGACTTAGCTAGACAACTCTGAAGGATCCATTTATTTCTATATACAGTAGCATTCAGACTTTAAAGAAATATGTCCTACCAATAAATGCAGCTCTGCAGTCAGTCATTTGTGTAGTTAGTCTGACTGACCCCATGCTTAAAACCTTGCTTAGACTTCAGGTACATGGGCAGCCAGCCTGCAGGAAATGACTTCCAGAAATACCCTTGAGCATTTGCATTAATCCCTAATCTCCCTATGATCCATAATGGGGTGGGGACTGTTTTAATCCCACCTCTTCGTGATCTCATGTACCAATCAACACATTTTTGACCTTACATGGAAATTGTTTATTTCAGTCTATAAAAGCAGCAGTCAACTGCTTGTTGTCTTGGTATGCCAATAAAATCCTGTTGACCTTTCTTTTCCTGGGTTTGCCTTATTGACAGTAAGGCCCAAACAAAGATTTCTTTCAACTTAAATCCTGGCAACCAACTACAAAGGAACCACTCTCACTCTGCAGCCAGCATTCAGACTTTTGTCTGATCTCAGGTGGGAGTGGACTGTCCTAGAGGACTGGACTGTCAGTCAGCCATGAAGTGGTCAAAGGAACTCAGGAAAGATAAGGAGAAACAGGTCCCAAACCCAAAATTGATTCTCTCTTGCTCGTGCATAAAAAAGTGAAAGCTGTGTGCATGGAGAAAAGGGCAGTGGAGAGTAGCTGGTTTTGCCCAACACTAGGTCACCAAGGGACAGAACAGTCCAGGGATACCAGTATCATTCTGGGATTGGGATAGAGTCAGCCTCCTGCTGATTCCTGCTTAGACAACCCACTAAAGCTTGGGACAAAGGAAAGTGGCCAGTACAACCAGGAATGCCCAAAATTTAAGTAGTAAATCTCAGCGGAGACGGGACTCAGTACTTAGACAATTGTGAGAAGCACATTTGGCCAGATGAATATGAGACCTCTGAAAAAAACAGACTTGAAGATCAAGAGCCTAGAGAGACAGTGGGGTCAGAGGTACTGTTGGGCAGAACTTTCAAACTAAGACTGACCCTCATTACAGTGGCCACACAATCCATATTTTCCAAAGCAAACACCATGGCAACCTTAAGAACCACTTTTGTAGGACATAATCAGAGAAGGAAGATAAGATTAAGGAAGATTTGGCAGCCCCCATGAAGGGGTGCTATGCAGGAAGACAGAGGAGAAGAGATTATGGACAGGGAAGGGAGATTCAGAAAACCAAAGGGAGCCCGGTGTGGTTATGTCTTTTTGTTTTAATTTGTTTTGTTTTACTGTACAAGGGAAGGACATTATAAGAGAGTTTGAAAGAAACTGAGATGTGACATGCCCAGATCATGAGCAGGGAACCCCCATGAAGAACCACCAGCGCAGCTCAACCCTATCTGCCCTGCAGCCCATTGTCCCCACCGTGGGAGCCAGAGCATCCAAACTTCCAAACTTCCTCTTTGGATACTGGGGAAGAAAATTCACAATGAGAGGAGAATGGGTGGAAAGTAAAAAAAAAAAAAAAAGCTGGAGTCTGTTTGCACTGAGTATGAATGGAAGGTTTGAAAGTCAAGGGTTTAGATTTTGGAAAAAGGAGTTTCAGGGAGGTTTGATCTCATTGAGATAAGGACACGAAAAGTGTTATGTGGTCATTCTTTATGATCCAGAAACTATAGTAATGTATTTGCAACATGGAATTATTTGAGAATAGCATGCCAAAAGTTTGTCCTTGAAGGACCATTAGCAGGGATATATTTTAGTCTTCATGTGAGGAATATAAAATCCTCATGGACCCTAAGAAAAAGCTGAAAATACAAGACTGTCACTTTAAATCTTTGGCAGTAAACTACCTGGGCGTAGGAAGTGCTAGCAGCAAATGGCCTTTGGAAAAACTGAGATTCCATGTGATATTATTTGTACATGTAGATCCAGATAAGATCAGGACTTAATGGACAAGACACTTAATATTTGTAATTCAGGCAATGTGTTTAGAAACTGCAAAATTAAATTTGTTAAAGCATAGTTGGATCAAAATTATTCTATACTTGCCTTTAATGCAGTCAGTATAGAGTACCAAAAGTGATAAAAAAAAAAATGAAGTTACTTTCTATGTAATTCAAAAATGCATTTAACTGAACTGATGTCATCTGATTGGCAATAAGTTTGTTTCATGTTTTAAGTCCATGACATTGCGTGGGTTATTATGTTTCTAAATTCTATTATATTGTGAATGTTGGGAAACCACCGCATAAGAAAGACTGTTAAGAGAATGATACAATTGTATCATTAGGCAATTTAATTTCTCTTTTGATATGGCTGCTGTGAGATTACTAAATTATTAGAGGTTATTGTAATAACGTTAAAACTTATCAAGTATTTAAGTATATTTTAACAGGGAAGAATAACAATTATTGTATGGGAAAAGAAGAGAGAGAGGGAGAGACAGAGAGAAGAGGAGAGAGAGAGAGAGAGAGAGACCTTGTAAAATCTCCTTATTTATAAACTTACCAGATTCCTTGGGACCATCTGTTTGGGAAAGTTCATAAAATCTTATCAGCCCTTCAAAAGAACTTGCTAAATATTGTGAAATTCCAAAATAATGAATCGGTTTACTGAGAAAATGGGATCCCCTCTTCCATCACAAATGCCCCTTGGCTTAGTGGAGGGGAGAATTTACAAGTTTGCTTATAGTATAGAAGTGATTTTATCATAATTTGTGAATATGAAAATTATGAAATTATACCTGGAAGTAGCCAGTGTTTTTCTTGGTTTTGAGTGAACAATCATTCATTCTCTATGGGGAATTCCATAATGTAGTTATTTTCTTAATTTCTAATGACTGATTTTTATACCAGGATGAGTTAAATTCTAGAGGAAAAAGGAAAGAAGGAAAAAGAAGAAAAGGATGTTGAGTGAATTTCTTTTTGAAAGGCTGGGTAAAACTTTTTATTGCAACAACATGAGAGAAATAATAATAACTGAATCTAGTCCTAAGCTATGATTATTAGAAGTCTCTGGCTGCCTGCACTTGATATCTTACAAGGTAATAGACTCACTCACAGCACACATGACACAGACACAGCGACACACACTGACAGACAAATTGATAGGACAAATATAAAGAGAGCACAAATTAACAACAGGGATAGGGAGAATTAAAGGCTTGTTAGAAACCCCCAACATGAGTTGGCTATTATTATTATTTGGAGAAAGTGGGGTTGGGGAATTTTCAAGGATCCAAGACTTGACAGGGTAGGGGTGGATGGGGACCAGATCCTGCAGCCTTTGCTCAGAACACCGCGATAGTCATTGGGGGGAGCATTGTCACCTCCGGTGTTTCTGCTTTTCTATAACCTTGAGATGGGTCCTGCATACAGATTCCCAATGCCCTGGTTTCTTGCAATAGTGATAAATACCAGGTTTGTGGTCCCTTCCCACGTTAGGAGTTGGGTGTGGGGTTTGGATGGGAGCTGTTCAAAACTCCCTTTTTGCTTTAAGGTCCTCCTCAGCCTGTGTTGCTAGCATCTGGGCAAGCTGGGAGGCAAGCTCAGCTATAAATTATGGGAAATCCTTAAGGGAAAGGGTGAGGAATAGGGTAAAGGAAGAGCAAAAGTTAGAGGAGAGGGAGAGGCTAGGGCTATTGGGCAAGAGGGGAGGGTGCAGTAGAAGGAATTAGCCACTGCTGGGGAGAGAGGTGGTGATGCTAAGGGAAGAGGCCTCTGCCTCTCCTTCTCCCTCGGCCATCTCAGCAACCCAAAGATGAAAACATTCCCCTCCTGGATAGATGTTTTCTTGATCATCAAACTTAATTTGGTTTTAAGATAAAGTAATTTTGGTCAAAAGAACCCCATTGTGGCCAACATAATTTGGGGCTATCTTTAGTTAACCGACACCGCTGGTGTTCATCAGATTGGTAATGGCTTGACGTATAAGAGGTGGCCATCTTATTAGCCAGATTTCTAGTTTTAGTTTCTGATTGACCCATCCTAGATCGACCCTTACCTGAGGGGATCTAACTGATACAAAGCAATTAAATCTCAACTTGATTCCCAACCCCAGAGCTAACTTAAAGGGAATTTTTTTTTGGACTTCAACCAAACAACTGGGAGGTCCATGGAAGCTGGGAATAGGAGAACTTACCCGACCCAGTCCGGGTTAGAACTCCAGGAAAAAATGGATCCTGAGGCATCTGAGCCACTAGCTGGGGTGGGCTGGTGTTTTCTCTCATTCCTTCAATTCCATCAGAAATCACGGTACCATTACTGTCAACCTGAAAGCTGGTTAAAGAGGCAGCAAGCTAAGTGATAAGTAAATTCATATTGTTTATTCCCTTAAGTTAGCAACATGTACATGGAGCCAGAGCTTTAACTCTGACTGAATCAAGCAATTTTAGGAGGACATTTAAACCCTGATTCAGGATGTCTGTGTTACTCAGATTCATGGTCTCTATATATGTTTAATCATAGCACGAGAAAGGAATTTTCTTAATTAAATAGGTTGTAAATACAATAAGATAGGAGAATGCCAAAGTGTCAATTGAAATTATAGATCCATTAACATGGCATAGCATAGTATATGTCCATAAAATACCAAGAAAAGAAAAGTCCCATTATTCAAAGTAGTGTCTGGGTTAAGGCGCCTTAGTGGTCATAAACAGAAGAATGCTGGTCAGCTTCATCTGTTGACACAGAAAGGGGCATTCTGGGTTCACTCAGAGAGCAAT